CCCTGGGTTGGTCATTGTGGTTCATAGACTTTAAAGCTGGATGGAAGCATAGATTGATTTTTTTCCGTGGTTGTTTGCATAGTATCTTCTGATATTATGGGAGCTGGTCTTCAGGGGGGAGGCTTCCAGATCAGTTCCAGCTCAATTCCTTCCTCTCTCTGAAGTATGTCCTGTCTTCAGCAACAGGGTCTTATCTCCAAGTTCTAGGAGGCAATAAAGGCTGTAGCAATAGCTTCTGTTATTTTGGGTGTCTCTGGACTACCCTAACCAACAACTCAAAAGGAGGTTTCCCCTTCCTGGTGCTCTGTTTTCTGTTATATAGCCTTCAGCTATACATATCTGCACGCACACATACATAAGCATACATGTATATTGTATGCATATTTTTCAGTAGGCTTTTTGAACTAATACATTTATTTCCTCTGTTTTTTCACACCACCTAAGCAATATTTATCTCTCCTCTCTCTGCCCCATATAACCCTCTATAGTCACTCCCCAGTTAGTCTCTCCCCTTCCCCCCGATGATACCTGTCTCCTATTACCCCCTCCCTTGAGCTCTTTCTTCTCCTGCACCTCCATGGTTCCTTGTACACCCTTCTCCCTTCCCAGTTAACTACCTCCATTTCCCCCATTTCCTCCTTAGTAACATCTGTCTCCTACTGTCCCCCTCTTTTGTGCTCCTTCTTTTCCTTTGCCCCCATGATGCCTTTCCATTTTCCTGTCTCCTGTGGTTATGTCAGGATATATATTCACATAGGAGGATTTGGAGCTAAGATCCACAAATGAGGGAGAACATAGTCGCTTGTTTTTCTGAGTCTGTGCTGCTTCACTTAGTTTAACAGTTTCGAGTTCCATCCATTAACCTGCAAATTTCCTGATTTCATCTTTCCTTACCGCTGAGTAGAACTCTATTGTGTAAATGTAGCACATTTTCACTATTCATTCATTTTCATTATTCAACATTTAGGTTGTTTCCATTTCTTAGCTATTGTGAAAAGAGCAGCAACAAACATGGCTGAGCAAGTGCCTCTGTAGTGGGATGCTGAGTCCTTAGGACATATGCCAAGAGGTGGTATAACTTGAACATATGGTAAATTTAGTTTTAGGTCTTTTATTTATTATTTTTATCTTATTTTATGTGTATGAGTGTATTGCCTATGTGTGTGTAAGTGCATCTGTGTTGTGCCATGCCTGTGGAGGTCAGAAGAGGGCTTCAGATCCTCCTGGAACTGGAGTTACAGACAGTTGTTAGCTGTCATGTGGGTGTTGGGAATCAAACCCAGGTCCTCTGCAAGAGCAACCAGTATTCTTAGCTGCTGAGCCATCTCTCCAGCCCCTTATTTTTAGTTTTTAAAGAGTTTTCCACACTGATATCCACAGCGGTTACACCAGTTTACAATTCTACCAGTTATGAATGAGAGTTTCCTGTTCTCCACATCCTCCTCTCCAGCATCTGGTGTCATTTATTTTCTTGATTTTAGCCAGTCTGACTGGGGTGAGATGAAATCTTAAAGTGGTTTTAATGTGCATTTCCCTAATTACTAAGGATTTTGAACACTTTTAGGTGTTTCTTAGCCATTGTTATTTCTTCTTTCGAGTGTTCTCTGGGTCATTAATTTAGTCATTTGTTTTCTTGTTTCTTTGTTCTTTGAGTTCTTTGTATATTATGGATATTAATCCTCTGTCAGATGTACAGCTGGTGAAAATTTTTTCCCACTTTGTGGGCTTCCTCTTCACTTTATTGGCTGTTTCCTTTGCTCTACAGAAGCTTTCTAAGGTACTGAGGTCCCATTTGTCAATTTTTGACCTTAATTCCTGAGCGACTGAAGTTCAATTTAGAAAGTCCTTTCCTGCACCTGTATCTTGTAGGATGCTGGCTATATTTTGTTCTGACAGTTTCAACATTTCAGATTTCATATTGAGGTCTTTGATCCATTGACATTGACTTTTGTGCAGGGTCATAGATACGGGTCTTATTTCCTTGTTCAGCACTTTGAGATCCAGTTTTGCCAGCACCATCTGTTGAAGATGCTGTCTTACCTCCAGGGCGTGTTCTTGGTATGTTTGTAAAATATCAGGCAGCTGAAATTGTGCGTACTCACGTTTGGGTCTTCTATTGTGTTTCATTGATCTACATGTCTATTTTCGTGCCAACAGCATGCTGTTTTTATGATGATAACTCTGTAAAATAGTTTGAAATCTGTGCTCAGAATTGCTTTGGATATCTGGGGTCTTATAACAATAAAACAAGAGAAGGAAATTAAAGGGGTATTAATTGGAAAAAAGAGGTCAAATTATCTCTATTGCAGATGATATATTATACATGAGAGCTCCAAAATTCTACCAGAAAATTTTTAGATATGATCAACACTCTCAGCAAAGTGCCAGGATATAAAATCAATTTGTTCATCTCCCCACTGTTGGTGCTGCCGTAAGCGATTTTTAAACCCACCCGGGTCTCAGATGAGTCTTGTTCCTCCCCAGGTCTGGGTTTTGGCCCTCACATCCTCATAGTGGGTCCAGAAGACAACGGAATAAAGCTGACGTGCACAGGGAAGGGATGGTTCCCCCAGCCTGAGATACAGTGGAGGGGCACACGCGGAGAGGAGATGCTATCGCTTTCTGAGGACGAGACCCAGGGTGACGATGGATTGTTTCAAGTGGAAGTGTCCCTCATCGTGAGAGACAGAGCCAAGAATAAAGTGTCCTGCTCCATGAAAAACCCCTTCCTTGGACAAGAGCAGGTGAAAACCATTTCTATCCCAGGTCAGTGCTGCACATTTGAGGGAGAAGATGTGAGGGAACAGGGCATAGTCAGGAGGTGGAGTGGAACAGGGCATAGTCAGGATGTGGAGTGGAACAGGGCATAGTCAGGATGTGGAGTGGAACAGGGCATAGTCAGGATGTGGAGGGAACAGGGCTGCTTGGTGTTTGTATTTTAACAGATTTTGGGGCTCTGTGCCAGAGCCCTTCTTTCCTAGTGCCTCTTCCTGGAGCCATATGGCATTTGCTTTGGTTTCACTCTCTCTGACCATTTTACTGATTGCTGCTGTGGTTTGGGTCTGGTGGGAAAAACAGCAAAAAAGAAGAGTACAGAGAGCCAAGGAAGACGAAATGAAAGAGAGGAGAGCCAAAGGTACATCCGCGAGCCAGACGGGCACGGCCCCGTGTGCAGGGTTTGTTAGGGTGGCTGTGTGTGGGCCTGGGATGGAACTTGATTTCCAAGTTGTGGAAAAAATATAATAGAATTCAGCAGAGGGAGAAATCATATGTGATAAACATAGAGCATTAAAAAAGTGATTGTACAATTCTCAGTTAAGATAAATATACTGACCTAGGTAATGGAGCAGGCATTCGGCATCTGGGTTAGAAATATGAACTAGAAATAAATCTTGGAGTTTTCCCTTGTAAAATGATTTTAAATTTTTCTTTTCTTTCTTTTTTTCTTTCTCTCTCTCTCTCTCTCTCTCTCTCTCTTTCATTTTCTCTCTTTCCTTTTTTTTTTTAGAATCACTCCAGAAAGCACACGGTAAGTTCTGCAATTTTCTGCCCTCATGAAGTAAGAGGAGTTCATACCCTGTGCTGAGCATTTGCTGTCTTACAGGTGGTTACTCTCTTTCTATGAAGACGTGGTATCAGTACGGTGAGTTCCCCTGGTGCTGTGGTCGGGCCCCACCTTCTATTCACCTTGTTGGTGACAGGGATCCTTCAGCCTAAATAGCCCAATAAGATCAACTACATGACACCAGATGAGATTGACGGAACTTTCTTAGTCACATGCACTGATGGCCTGGGGTGAGAGGACAGGTCTAGGGCTCTGGCCATGCAGGAACACACAGGGTTGCAAGCAGGAGCTGAGGGGCCAGAAAGAACTGAAGGAGACAAGATGAGGTCCTCCACACCACCCTCTGTTTCCAATATTTGATTGGCTTGAGTAATTATCAGGTTGACGGAGAGATGGAGCCCCTGAGACTGAGGACCAGCTTTGGTTCACCTCACGTTGCTGAAGATGGGGTTAGCAGGTGGGTTTTCTTGCTTTGTAGTGATGGTGAGAGGAGGGAATCGTAGTTAGGTATTTACAAGGCAGCGCGTGAAACTTCGTATATCTGGCCATGCAGGAACACACAGGGTTGCAAGCAGGAGCTGAGGGGCCAGAACGAACTGAAGGAGACAAGATGAGGTCCTCCATACTACCCTCCGTTTCCAAGGAAGTATTTGATTGGCTTGAGTAATTATCAGGCTGACGGAGAGATGGAGCCCCTGAGACTGAGGACCAGCTTTGGTTCGCCTCACGTTGCAGGTGTGTTTTCTTGCTTTGTAGTGATGGGGAGAGGAGGGAATTGTGGTTAGGTATTCACAAGGCAGCGCATGAAACTTTACTTCGTATGAACCATGTCCTCCTCCCCAGTTTAAGCTTATTATGTCATTTTCTCAAGGGACTAGACTCTAAGATGAGAAGAACGAGGAAAATGTGAGAGCCGAACACACAAAATACGTAAAGGAGAGAGAGCCCAGAACCGTCCTTAAGACACAATGGCCATGGCAGTACAGCACCATCATAAACCTCCACATTTCAGAGCCAGGTGTGGTGGCGCACACCTTTAATCCCAGCACTCGGGAGGCGGAGGCAGGCGATCTCTGTGAGTTCAAGGCCAGCCTGGTCTACGTAGTGAGTTCCGGGCCAGCCTGGTCTACGTAGTGAGTTCCAGGCCAGCTGGGGCTGCAGGGAGCCCCTCCGCATTTCATATCATCACAGCAGTTACATACTTTGAAGTGAAGGTCCTATTTGCAGGAGAAGCATTTTTAACACTGGTTTTAAGTTAGCCACGAAGTCGTGGGTTTCATGATGGCTTTTTCACACGTCTCTGTACGCTGTTGGCAGTCTCCTTCCCGTCCACTGCCCTTCCTGGCCTTCTCTTGCTGGTTCCCTTCCTCCTCTCAAATAGTTTCCCTTATTCTGAGGTGCAACACCAGACATCATCGTGAGGGTTGGATGAAGCCGAGAAAGGCCGAGAATTGAGTCTTGCCGTAGTGCCAGGCATGTGCCCACTCCGATTTAAGCTCTTTAGGGTTATCTTTCTGTGGGCTTGTGAACTGAGTCACACCCTTCTCCTACATCCACGCATTTCTAGTTTTAGAAATACGGTGCTTGGTGGCAGGATCTGAGTTTATATAAGCACTCTGCTCTGTAGCTGGGATTCTGGTGAAGCTGCTTTGCTTTCCAGGCATTTGGGGAGGATGGAGAGACCCGTCCCGGAGTGCCAGATGTAGGGTTTTCACAAGCAACAGCTTCCTGTCTACGTGGTTTCACGCTATCTCCATCACTTCATGCACTTTCTCTTTCCAGGCATTTGGGGAGGATGGAGAGACCCGTCCCGGAGTGCCAGATGCAGGGTTTTCACAAGCAACAGCTTCCTGTCTATGTGGTTTCACGCTATCTCCATCACTTCATGCACTTTCCGTTTACCTTGGGATTTCCCCTGACTGTCCGCACTCACTATTTGCATTTTATTGAAGCTGACCAGTCTCCACGAGGACTGATGGTGTTTATTTTTTTTCCCCCACACTTGTAGTGCGTGTTTCTCTGGTTTTAAGATCACCTCATTCCAGCCTCACCCTGTCAGAGAATAGATGTGTTTCTCAAAGTGAGGATGGTGTTCAGAACTGTGACGACATGGCCTGCCGATGGGAAGAGGAAGCTCAAAGAAAGTTTAGTGCTCTAGGTCACAATTTCTTTACCACCGGTAAATATTATTGGGAGGTAGAACTTACAGGGAGGGGCGATGGAACTGCAAGTAGGTGGGATGTTGGTGTTTATTCAAAACAAATCAAGAAACCAGGCCGGCTTCGAAAAATTCCAAGTCACTTTTGGGGGCTGACCCTCAGCAAAGGTGAAGTTTGGGCTCAGATCAAGCCACCCAAGTTTCTGTTTCGGAAGCAGCCCCCCCACAGGATCGGCCTCTTCCTGGACTGTGAGGCAGGGACCCTGTCCTTTTACAACATGGAGACGAGCGTCCACATCTTCTCCTTTGTTGGGATCACCATTCCTGGGTCCCTCCGCCCTTTTTTTAGCCTTCGGGGTCCTGACACTTCTGTTCGAATCTGCTCAGCTCCAGATCACGTTGAACATCTCTCCGAATCATTGTCAAGTAAACCCATGACTAATTTAGGGGACTGTGGTACAGATGCCCCCGAGGAGGCAAGCCCCCTCTTAATCCCTTAAGAAGTGAACACCCAACACCTCCATGGCCTCCACTCGGGCTGTTTGTGGGGTTCAGAAAGTTGTCCTTCAGCTGGCCAGTCACTCATATGAACTCACAGCAATGGTGACAGCACGCACAGGTCCCATGCCAGCTCAAACCAGACAAAATCCCAGTAAAGACACGGAGAAGTAAGAAACTGATCGCTGCTTGGAGGAGGAGAAGTGGTTTCCTTTAAGGATGGGACTCTTGGTATGTTCCCCAGGCTCCAGTGAATGAACTCCCTCTGAAGGACATTGGGGACACAAATTAGACTCTATAATCCTTATTATATAGCTATTATTATATCTATTTAATAGAGTACATTAAACTGGGCAGGGGGCAGTAAGAGGCGGTTTGGATGGGGGATCTAAATACCATCAAAACGTACTATATGAAAATCACAGAAAATCACAAACATTCAATTAGAAATGAAACCATGACATTTGTAAGAAAATGGGTGAGACTGGAAATTGCTAGGTTAAGCAAAATAAACCACATGTAGACAAATAAAGACGTGAAAGGTCACCCCCTCAGGCCCTCCATTTATTCCACTCAGGATCTTTGTGGGGTTCAGACAATTGTCCTTGGTGGTTTGTAGGTCAGTTTCTGTACTTGAGATTTCAGCTTCTTTAAAGAACAAGAGGCAGAGAGAAAAAGGAGAATCTTGAGAAGCCCATGGAGATTTCCCACTGGAGAAATGTGGCTTTCCTGTGAGTGACAACCATTTGTCGGAAGAAAACTGCAAACAAGTGTGTGGGTCTCTGTCTTGTTTGACTCCCAGTCTGTGTTGAAGTAAAAAAAGTTAAAACTACATTTAAAGACAATCTCTCTTCTTTCTTTTGTTACCGAATATCGGGGAAGGATGAACAGGAGGGACGCAGATGCGTGAACTCCCAAGACACTCTTGGAAACACAGGCATCTGCTCAAGTCTTTTGAACGTGTGTGGCCCAAACTGTCCAGTTTTTCAGACTCCAGAGTCCTGTGAACATCTAATCTAGGATTTTGCCAAAGGGCGGGGAAGTCATATACGACTCTAAATCACTTGAGCAGAAGCCCATGTGTTCTGGGAGGGAAAAGCTC